GATCTACGCAACCCGTGGACAATCTCTAGTTAAATATAAACGTAAACACAAAAGCAAAACGTACAAATTATTCCCTCAAGCCTACTTTTTAAACGTTCACATATATATGAAATTAAAGCTTTATTATGGTTCTAACTGGTATCTGCGTAATTGCAAAACATTGAAGCATATGAAGAATGGCTTAACTTTTTTTTTTACCAGTAGATGAATTTGAAGAGTAATGACTAAAAGACAAAGGTTTAAAAATTGTTTTTCTTTCTCCTTTCTAGAAATTATATCTTCGGTTTAATATTGGTTTAGTCTAAATCATTAGCTTGACTTAACTTACTAGAAAATAAACGAGGGAAACAATTCTAGAGGTGATTACTATATCTGGAGTGAGGATGTTCGTAAGAGAGGAGCACAGCGCCCACCTGTGAAGAGCCTTCAAGGCAAGAACCACTAGTTTGGTTTTATTCGTCAAATAGCGCAGTACGAACTGAGCCTGATCCAATATCAACCGTTTCCATCTGGTGGAATGCAAACGACCACCTCTCAAGTACTCATCTCGTACTCTCTCATATGTCGCCAGAACAAAATCACAACTCTCTAGCGGTAGATGTCCATCTTGGAAGTCCGTGTAGGTAATGCTATCTGGCGCATGTGTTTTGATCTCTGATGACCATTCACGAAGAAAGTCATCAGTAGTGGTGACAACCAGAGTAGATCCACCTGTTCGCCTCTGTGCCCAAGTTATATCGGGAAGAGCAGTTCTAGATATAGTTGGAAAAGCAAATTTATACGCCACGACCACATTTGTAATCTCAGAGCTTGAATTCGAAGGTTTATGACCGAGTAGAATTTCGTAGTCATGATCCATCATTTTATGATTGTTTCCACATAATCTTTATCGAATGAGATTACGCAAAGAGGCGCCGAGGAGGTGAGCTAGCTCATCGAATAACATGTCATATTTCAGTTTAAGGTCTACATCATCGCGCTTTCCTGCTGCAAAAATAAAGAGGCAAAAACAGATATTTTGGTGAAATTTTTCAATTTCAGAGCAAAAGTATCTTACAAGATATTAAAAGCCAGGGGATAAAACATATAAGGCTGAGTTACATATAAGACTAGTTATATCATTCATCGACATAGGAGGGACTTCAAAGAGCTGTAAGCCATCAACCTCTCTGAATGATGATAAGGAGGGCTCAGTAAACCCAAAAGTCTACAAATTATGCCTTTAATCATGGTTCTAACTGGTATCTGCGTAATTACAAAATATTAAAAAATATGATGAATGACTTAAATTTTGTTACTAGTCGATGAATTTGAAGAATAATGACTAAAAGACAAAGGTTTAAGATTTTTTTTTTTCTTTCTCCTTTATTAGATATTAGAAATTATATCTCCGGTTTAATGTTGGTTTAGTCTATTTGTATAGTTTGGTTATCACACTAGTTTATACCCTAATATTTAAGCTTGCTCTTGTACACATTATACGTTTAGTGAAGGATAATCCGATTACTGAAATGGTATCAGAGTTTTTCTATATCCTTCATTCACTTTCTTCAGCTAAACTTTTTCTTTAATCATCTTTAAATTTTCGATTGATTCGTTTCAATCGTTTGGTTGTTGTTTCTCCGATAGATTCCGCTTCATTTGATCGCTAAATTTCTTTGATCGAAGCTCGGATATGTTTTCAATCATTTTTCACCGATTGATTCTCAATTTTTTTTGTTGATTTCTTCTTCTATGATCGATTCTCTATAGATTGATCGATCAATTTCTCAAACCGGGCCTCGCTCAAGAATTCTCCGATTCTCTATAGATTGATTGGTCAATTTCTCGAACCGGACCCCTCTAAAGAATTCTCCGATTCTCTTTTTTTTTTTACCTTATCTGTAAATTTTTCCAGTCGGATCTCTCTCAAGAATTCTTTGATTTTTTTCCAGCTCAATCTCTTCGATTTGAGTTGTTTCTACTTTGGTTCAGTGCTCGACGAAACTTGTTGATGCTTCGATTTCGCTCGATTGATTACTTATGTTTTGATTCGGTTATTTTGATAATGCAATTGATTGTGTTTCTTCTTCGGCGAAGTTAGATATTGCTTCGATTCCGATTGATATCGTTTTTATACGATTCCGGCGAAGTTGATCATTTTCTTCTTTCTATCCGATCTTATTGATCGCGTTTCAATTTCATCGATCGTGTTTCAGTTACCGATCGATTCATATCCGATCTCGTGTTACTGCGATTCAATTTTGTTTATTCAATTGGTCTCGATTGAAATAAGTGTCGGTCACGATTGAACTAAGTGTCATATTATTTAAGCAAATTAATTTCTCTATTACATCTTTGTAAGTTTGCATAGCAATTCTAGTTACAACGTATTATATCATAAGTTTTGAATTTACAAA